GTTGCCTGACCAGAATTCTTTGAACAGTTAAAAGAATATCTGCACTGTCAAGCTATATGAACTTGCAAATTATAATTCCATGGCCACACAACGCACACGAGATGGAGTGTTCCACAAGATTGCTTGTAGGTTTATCCTCACAACAGAATTTCTTGATAAGTTTCCCCATCGCAGGCTGTACCCACCCATGGACTACATGAGTAAAGCAGAAGGAGATAGCTGCCCATCCCTGCCATGCCTTGTACTGAATAAATTGGTATGGTCTGTTTTTAAAAATAAGGTTTTGTGGTCACCCATTGCACTGTCTCAGGTGTTGTCATTCCTTTGGACTCTCCACCTCGTTTTTCTTCCTCATTTCTTCTAGTGGAGTTTGAGAGTCCTTACCACTTTCCAATTTCATGCCACTGAGGTGGTGGACTGTGGATGCATTCTCCTGAATTGGTTAATGAAATACAATAAAATTATAGAAATTATTATAAAACCATGCAGTTGAGAGTAAGCAGGTTGTGTTCCACTGGTGTAGATGACATGATATTCTCCAATATGAAACAAGATTAAATGGGACTGAGCCATCAAAATTGCAGTTCACCCCTTCGATTGGGATCCCTCATCCTACCCCCATGGGGATATTAGTTCCCAGTGGCTGGGTTTTTGATTTAGAGTTGAACCAATCAACATAAGTCCTCAAACATGTATTATGGATGTCTATATTCCTCCCTCAATTATACTATTGTTACTTTACTCCATCAATGTTGTGGGTTATGGTGGAGGTACTTGCAGATTATGATGGTCTTTCCCTTCTGCTATCCCTCGATGCTTATTATTCCAAGAATTTTGTCCAGATTGATCTATCAATTTCATAAATTAACATGTGCCCCATTCACGGGTTTGAGAGTTCTTGATTCCCTTTGACCACTTGAAGTTGAGGTGAAAATGGTATGATCTTCTTTCCTATCCCCACCAGATGGCTGGGTTTTAGTTATTGTATTTGACTTGCCACTGGTATGATCCTCTTTTCTACCCCCACATGGATGTCGGTTCCTGGTGGTCTGAGTTTTGGATTGTAGTTAACTTAGCGATGATATAATCCTTATTCATACCCCCCCTCATGGATGTCGGTTCCTGGAGGCTTGGGTTTTAGATTGAAGTTGACTTACCAATGGTTTGATCCACATCCTAACCCCCTGTAGATGTCAGTTCCTACTTACCTCTTCTAACACTTCCCACCCTTCCACTTATTGGTGGAGGATTGTCACATGATGATTTGCATGAGAGATGCATTGGAATCACTCAATTCCAATAGATGGGAGATAAAAGGCTTGTGGCATGCATAGAAAATTTGTTTCATATAGAGTGCAGCACTGAACGAGACAATGTATTTCCCATAGGTACTTCCCTCCTCTCACCAAGCTATTTATGTGAGAGGAGAGAAGTATCTATTGGAAATCCATTTTCAGTATAGGAAAATTATAACTTTGTCTTATACTGGACATAATTATTGATTAACACATTCAGCGTTTTCTAGGATTCCTTTTTTAACTTGCAAAATTGCAATTTT